GGTGAGTGGGTTGAGGTAGGGTGCCAGCGAGGGATGGGCGCCAGGACAGGGCCTCGGGGGTCCTCGGACTTTTGGTAGGCGGAGGCAGTGAGAGCAGGGAGTGGTTCTGGGGCGCAGCAGCCCTGGGTTAAGGCTAAAAGTCTTGGGTCGTGGGGTGGCCTTAAAGGTCCGAGAGCTGGGCTTCCTAGGAGGGTCTGTCAGAGGGCGAGTGCCACCCTTCCGACCCTCAGCCAGAAGGCACAGAGCCCAAGTATCCCTGTGTCCCCACAGCTGAGGGGAATGCAGGAAATCAGGCTGGAGTTTAGAGAACTCAAGAACAAGAATGTAGCCGGGCGTGGTGGCGCACACCTGTAATCCCAGCACTTGGGAGGCTGAGGCAGGAGGATCGCTGTGAGTTCGAGACCAGCCTGAGCTACATAGTGAGTTCCAGGTCAGTCTCAACTACATAGTGAGACCCTGTCTCAAAAAACTAAAAATATAGCCGGAGATTTAGCTCAGCGTTTCGGTGGCCTGCCTTGCAAAAGCGCAAGGACTCGAGTTCAATCCCCGGAACCAAAAAACAAAACAAAACAAAACAAAAAAACAAAAACAAAGAAAGAGGAATTACAAAAAACTAAAAATTAAAATAAAAAAGAACAAGAATTTGCAGAACTGGTTGGGTGTCGTGGCACACGTCTGTAATGCCAGCTACTCGGGAGGCTGAGGCAGGAGGATCATTATTTCAGGTCAGCCTGGACAATTTAGCAAGACCTTGTCTCAAATAAGGGCTGGAAATGCAGCTCAGGGCTACAGCGCCTGCAGGAGGCCCTGGATTCAGTGGATGGCACAGCAAAAAAGAATGCACAGGGCTGGCTGGGCGTGGTTTTCACTCCAGCGAGTTGAACCTATAACCGCAATCTGATTCAACCTAGCGCAGCGCAGGGCAGCCACGGGAGGGCGCTCTGAGCCGGGCTGTGTCTCCGTCCCCAAAGACATGAAAGCCACGCCCGGACACGCAGACCACGCCCCAGCGTCCCAGCCCCGCCCCCACACGCAGGCCACGCCCCAGAAGACCTAGCCAAGTTCTGATCGCAAGCTCGAGTTTCAAACTTGAGGATAATAGACTAGTTAAGAGCTGGCGGGCCTGTAATCCCGGCGCTCCAGAGGCTGAGGCAGGAAGATCACTGAGAATTCGAGGTCACCCTGGACTACATAGTAAGTTCAAAGTCAGACTGAACTACGTAGCGAGACTCTGGCTCAACAAAGCAAAACAAAATGAGAATACAGTAGCTAGCATCCGTCTGACAGTTGCCCTCTATAAAAATTTACTCACTGATTTCTCTCTGAGGTGGGAGGTGAGGGGTTTAGGACCAGATGAAGGGCTCCTCTCCCTCGCCCCAATTTTAGAACCCAGAGCCTTGACGGGACTCCTCAGTGGGTTGGCGGGATCACCTAGCAACTGGCTCTAGCTACTGGACGTCGGATCTCTCTGAGTCTCGCAGTACCGTCTGCCAGAAAATGCTAGTTGCCAGCTGCTTCCTCCACAGGGCATCAAAACGAGGACGGTCCTCGCCCGGGCTCCGTGCATGCACTTTAATATCTTCTATTTAATTCCATTCATTAACAAAAAATCACGTTTGCCAGCCACTAAATTGATTTCATAACCCACTAATGGATCCTGGTTGGCCATTTGAAAAAAATACTGCCGTGAGAAACTCCAAGAGACATTTTGAGGGATGTTAACTGCAGTCTTGTCGGAAACGGAGAAAAGTGGGAAAAAAGGGAAATGTGGCCGGGAGAAGAGCGGAGTAAATGGTGGCCTGAGACTCACCGGGATCCCACACAGCACTGGAGATAAATGAATCGGAGGTGAGCACCAGCAGCTCAAGACCTAAGGTGTCATGAGGCACGCACGCTTGAGAGCAACCCTCCGCCTCTGTCCTGTCCCCGGGAACCTGTGAACGTGACCATATTTGGAAATGCACTTTCTTTTTTCTTTTGGTACTGGGGATCGAACTCAGGCCCTTGCGCTTGCCAGGCAGGCGCGGTGCCACTGAGCTAAACCCGGCCCCTTTCTTCCTTTTAGTTTTTTGAGATAGGGTCTCACTGTGTAGCCCAGGCTGGTCTCAAACTCACTCCAGTCCTCCTGCCTCAGCCTCCCCAGTGGTGGGACTACAGGAATGTAGTACAGGACTACAGGGATGGCTTGGATTTGGTTTTGATTGTTTGTTTGGCAGAACTGAGCAAACCCAGGAAACCATATATGCAGCACAAGTGCTCTACCAATGGATTACCCCCCCCACACACATACTTTTTTGGATCTCTTATCTTTTTTCTTCATTTTTGGTACCGGAAATTGAACTCAAGGCCTCGCGATTGCCCAGCAGGCACTGCACTGCTGAGCTACATCCCCGCACCCACCTTTTGAGATAGGGTCTCAATAAGTTGCCCAGGCTGGTCTTGAACTTTTGATCCTCCTGCACTCTGGCCGTAGCTGGGACTGCAGGTGTTCACCACCTCACCACCTGGAAACAGGGTCTCTGCAGATGTAAGCAGGTTAGTGGAAGGAAATCATGCTGGGGCGGGGGGGATGAAATCTAACGTGACAGGCGTTCTTCTGTGACAGGCACTTAGAAGAAGGGACCTGGGGCACAGGTACAAGCTTCTGCACGTGCACACACACACACACACACACATAAAGAATGGCCAGAAACGGTGAAAAGCCGAAGCGAGGCAAGGAAGGACCTTTCTTTTGGGCCTCAGAGAAAGTGTGGCCTGTGACACCTTGATTTCAGGCTTCTGGCTTGCAGGACTGTGAGCCAATGAACATCTGTCACTGTAGGCCATGTAGCTGATGACTTTGTCACAGCAGCCTAGAAAACCAATACTATGAATTTAAAAAGTAAGTACAGGGTGATTACTGCAGCACAACGGTGTTTATGTCAAATGTGAGAACCTGAAAACAGTGCTACGTGTTACTTGGGGTTACCTATGTCTGAGACATTCATGTGAGAGCATGCGCGGTGTAGGCGCATGCGCGGTGATGCTGACCATCGTGTCCCGGGATACAGAAAAGGGGTTGGAAGGGGCTGGGGACTTAGCTCAGTGGTTCAGCTGCCCGCTTTGTATGTGCAAGGGCCCAAGTTCGATCCCCGGTTCCAAGAAAAAAAAAAAAGAAAAAAGAAAAGGGGTTGGATATGAGCACATACTGGCTTCAAAGACACTGCTGATTCTTTGATTTAAACAACTGGCGTCACACGTGAGAAAACATTTTTTCTTTTTTTTTTTTTTTTTTTTTTTTTGAGACAGGGTCTCACTATGTAGTTCAGTCTGCCTTGAACTCACTGTGTAGCCCAGGCTGTCCTCCAACTCACAGTGATCCTCCTGCCTCAGCCTCCCGAGTGCTGGGATTTCAGGTGTGCGCCACCACATGTGGCTGCAGAAATAGTTTACGTGGTTGTATCTTGGGCACAGAAGAAATGGATGGCACGAGAAGATGCTCAAAGCCATTGTCAGTCAGGAAAGTAAGACTCAAAACTGCTAGGAAATCCCACTTCGGGCTGGGACTGTAGCACCAGCTGACCTAATTTGAAATTCTGGGCCTCATCTCCAGCACCGTAAACAAAACTCCCTTCATACCCGCCAAGCTGGCCATCATACCTGACAGACGCTGACAAGGGTTGGCAAGGGTGTGGTGACATTGGAACCTTTGATGCTGCTGGTGGCAATGTCACATGCTGAAGCTGCTTTGAAAAACACTCTGAAGCCAGGTGTGGTGGAGCACGCCTGTAATCCCAGCACTCGGGAGGCTGAGGCAGGAGGATCGCTGTGAGTTGGAGGGCAGCCTGGGCTACACAGTGAGTTCAAGGTCAGACTGGACTACTAAGTGAGACCCTGTCTCCAAAACAAAACAAAAGGAAAAAAAAAAGGTACAGCTCTTTGGGAGGCTGAGGCAGGAGGATTAAAAGTTTGAGCCTGGGCTGGGCAACACAGTGATTTAGCAAGATTTTGTCTTGAAATTAAAAATATATATAAAAAGGGCTGAGGCTATAGTTCAGTGCATAGGCCCTGAGTTCAATCCTAAGTATCACAAAATTTAAAAAAAGTATAGTGATGTGTTGATACAGTGAAATATTATTTGGCAATTAGAAAATTGAAATTCTGATACATGCTACAGCTTGGATGAACCTAGAAAACGGGATGCTAGGCCACCGTCTTGCTCTTCCAGGGCCTATGTTATCCTCTTCTTCTTTTTTGTTTTGTTTTGTTTTTTGAGACAGGGTCTCACCATGTAGTTCGGGCTGGCCTCGAACTCACAGCGATCCTCCTGCCTCGGCCTCCCGAGTGCTGGGATTACAGGCTTGCGCCACCACACCCGGCTGAAAAAAGCTTTTAAAACGGATTCTACCCAGCCCGTAAATCCCAGCTCTCAGGAGACTGAGGCAGGAGGACTGATGTGAGTTCAAGGCCAGCGTGAGTGACACAGTGATTCCGTATCACAAAAAAGCCCAATAAACAAAAAAACTGGATCCTGATGATTGCAGAGTTCTGTGAATGCACTGGAAGTATGGAATTGTACATTTTGGGTAGATTGTGCGTGGTAGGACACATACCTTGTAACCCAATCTGTTATACAAAACGCCGGAGGCTGGGGCTTCAGGGCGACCACTAGAGGGCGCTCTGAGCAAGGCTGTCCCGCCCTTGGGACTGAAGCTTTGCAGGCTTCGCTGGTCCCGCCCCCGCCGTGGTCACTCCCTAAGCAGCACCCTCACCCTTGCACTCCCCAGACTGACCGCAGATGCCTGCAGACCTAGAAACTCTTAGCAACACGGATCCTTAACAGCCCCAGACTGTGTTCCCAGCTCCACAGAAACAAAACAACAACAAAAGCCCAGCAGGCGTTTAAACTCTGATTTCTATTAGGAAACGCTGTTTTGGAAGTCACTTGAAATTTAGAAGCTGCAAGGACAGGGCAGAGCGGTCTTCTACACCCTTCGCCCAGATTTGCGGTTGGCAACACGGCGCCAATTGCTTTATCATTGCCGGCATCTCCCCAGCCCGCCCACCAGCCCTTCGAGAACACGTTTTTCACATCCATTTGCCTCCAAATACTGCAGCTGTGTTTGCAGGTACAAGGACATTTTCTTCCCACGGCCCTGATGCAGTCTAACTGCAGGCGTGACACAGTGACGGAACCCTAGGAACCTAAAACTACTCAAACTGCCAGTTGTATCCAGCGTGCTTTGTGGCAAAAATTTCCTATCCAGGGTTTTTTTTGTTTGTTTGTTTTTTGTTTTTTTTTTTCACCATTGGGGACTGGACTCAGAGCTTTCACACTGAGCCACATCCAGCCCTTTTTATTTTCTATTTTGAGACAGAGTATTGCTAAATGACTAAGTTCTTCAGGCTGAGCTCAAACTTGGACTCCTCCTGCCTCAGCCTTCCAGAGTGCTGGGATGACAGGCGTGCGACACCATGTCTGGCTCAGGATCCACTCTGGGGTCGTGTGTTGTGCTCTGTTCTCCTGTGTCTATGGTTTCTTTCCATTTCTGGTGTTCTTTGTTTTCTGGAATGGCGACAGTTCCGAAATTCCAAGCCCCTTCTTTTCAGGATGCTGCCCTTGGCGTGGGCCTGGTTGTGCTTCCTTGGGCTTCGATTCTGACCCAGGAATGTTATAGAAGTGACCCAGTGACCTTCTCAGGGCGTCGTAGCTGGAGGCATGTGGCATTGTCCGGTTTTGGGTAGTGACTTTGAGCCGCTGCTTATGGTGAACCACAGAATCTGGGTCTAAGTTAGTAGCTTCCTTCTCAGCCGCCTACGAAACAAAGGTTTGGCTTATGTGAGGCTCCGCAGACACCTAGGGAGCAGGTGTGTTCTGTCCGCCTCTCACTCTCACTATCTTTTTTTTTTTTTGGAAACGTGGTCAACATTGAGGATTTGGTAGCACTCACGCATGCACCTGCGAGCGACACCCTCTGCCTCTCCGGGTTTACCCGGGGTGGTGAGGGCAGTGACCCTGTGAGCAGGGGCTGGGGTCTCCGAGAAAGGCACGGAGGAGACGACATCTTCCTTTGGGGATGGACCCAAAATGCTGGTGCAGCCGCCGAGGGAGAAGTCTCGGAGCTTGGCGCAGTGCTGAGTTCTGAGGCCCTGGAGACGGAGGCCCCATGAAGGCCTCCATCTTCCCCCTCCCTTGAGTTCTCATCCGACCCTGTGAGCAGAAGAGGATGGCAGGACATATGCTCCGGGTCCCAAGGTCTGGGAGGCTGAGGGGATTTCCACATGGGGAGAAGCCAGATCCTTTGTTTTAGGGAAGTAACTTAGCAAGGTCAGTGCTGAGTTCAGCCCTCAGATGCAGGGACAGTCACACACGCACACACACAAACACACATGCACACACACACGCACACAGGACCAGGGCCTGTGCTGAGCGCCCGCCATCCTTACTAAATCTTCCTCACCCTGCTAACCCTGAGAGGGGGGTGTTGTCCCCACTGTACCGATGGGAATTCTAGGCTCAGCAGGACAGGTCATTCTGCCAGGGTCCTGTGGTTATTTGGTGTCAGAGCCCTGGTGTGAAAGATACGCTTGTCCTTGACACCATTCTTTACCTTTCTTTTCTTAGTAGAAACTTCTGGATTTAACTGGGAACATGCTGCTCAGAGAAAACTACATTTCCCAGCCTTCCTTGTGAGAAGAGCAGTTAGACTCTGGCCAATAGGGTTTCTGGATTGTAGCTTTAAAGGATTGAGGCATACACTTTGCTAATTGATTTTGAATTCCCTCCTTCCCTCCCTTCCTTCTTTTCTCTGTACTGGAGATTAAACCCAGAGCCTTCACACAGAGCTAAAAGTTCTACGGGTGTCTCACTGAGTCCCTGAATCACCCAGGGTGAACTTGAACTTGGGATTCTCTTGCCTCAGCCTCCTAGAGTGCAGGGGTTGCTGGTGTGACCACCACACCTGCTCATTTCACTCATGCTTAGTCGGTGCACCCCATCATTGTGCCCTCATTTTACAGATGAGGAAACTGGGGGCTCAAGACCGTGAAGTTGCTTGACCTCGGCCACAAAGCCAGGAAGTGGAAGGACAAGACTTGAACTCACTCTGCCTCCATCACTTGTGCTCCTGACACAGGTGGGGAGGGTGGCAGTGCTCACACAGGCGACATTGTATTTGTGGAGGATGTCACGAGGGACAGGGAGGTTCTCGCACACAGCTGCTTCCGTACCCTAACCCTAGCCTTGCCACCTGCAAATGTGACCCTGTTTGCAAAGATTGTCTCTTCAGGATTTGGTGGTGCACACCTGTGATCCCAGTAGTCAGGAGGCTGAGGCAGGAGGATCGCTGTAGATTCAAGGGCAGCCTGGGCTACATAGTGAGTTCAAGGCTGGCCTGGACTACATAGCAAGATCCCCTCTCAAAGAAAAGGAAAGATTATCTTTGCAAATGTAATGAAGCTAAGAATGTGGTGCTGAGATTGTCCCAGATAATCTGGGTGGGCCCTAAATCCAGGAAGTTTTAGTGGAGGCAAGGACACAGGCACCAGAGGGGATTCATGCAAAGGGGCAGCCAGGGATGGGAGTGATGTGGCCACACAGGGACACCTGAGCCACCTGAAGCTGGACGGAGCAGGAACCACCCTGTCTGGAGCTGTGGAGAGAACACCGCCTTGTGGACACTTTGTTTCAGACTTCCGGCCTCCAGAACTGGGAGATTTTTTTTTTTTTGAGACAGGGTTTTGCTGTGTAGTTCGGGCTGGCCTTGAACTCACAATGTAGCCTGGAACTCTCGGGGATCCTCCTGCCTCAGCCTCCGGAGAGCTGGGATCACACCACCCATGGCTAAATTTCTATTAAAACACTTAGTTTGTGGAGATTTGTTTCAGCCGACGCAGGAAACTAACCATCCAATCAGGCAGCTGAGTGGACACCAAGTCAGGGGCAGACACAGTAGTACCTGAGTCACCCCCATCAGGAGCCTGGGTGTACATAGGTGACCCCATCACCGTTATGTGCTTTTCTGATCGTGCCAGACTCGAAAGCGGCTCCTCATAACTCATTCTCATCCCAGAAGATGAGCCGAGAATCCTGGAGGACCAGGGCAGCCACCATCTTTGCAAGGGTCAGATGGAAGGGAGGGCAGAAACCCCAGGGAGAGTTGATGGAAAACAGGAGTTCAGTGACACCAATGCCGGGCCCAGGACAAGGGACCCGTCCGGAAGGTGGGAAAGGCGTGATTAAGGGTTCCTTCCCCGAGCTTCCAGAAGGAACTTGCCGGCTTACACCTGGACTATGGCCCTGAGTAACAGATTTTGCTCTTCTGATCTCAAGAAGTGTAAGAGAGTAAGTACTTGCCTTTTTATGATTTCATTTTATTTTATTTATTTATGTGCAGTACCAAAGATTGAACTTAGGACCTTGCGCTTGCAAGGTAGGCGCTTGCCACTTAGCTAAATCCGTGGCCCTCTTTTATTTTTTTTGCAGGGTGTTGCCGTGTAGCCCAGGCTGGCCTTGAATTTGAGGTAGTCCTCTTGCCTCAGTCTCCCTAGCGCTTGAATCACAGGTGTGGGCCACGACACCTGGCTACATTGGTGCCGCTCTGTTTTGTGTTTTCGGTACTGGGGATCGAACTCGGGACCTTGCACTTACGAGGCAGGCAGGGGAACCACTGAGCTAAATCCTGGCCCCATTTGTGCTATTTTTAAAAAGCCACTGAACTTGTGGTGATGTGTTACAAATGCTGTCACCTAGAGACCTGTCCCAGGGTCAAAACACAGGCTGTGTGTCTCAGGGGGCCCTGTGGAGCCACTGAGTAAAATATGACCTCCGCTGTGAGGCAGTCAGCGTTAGGAACGCGCCGCGCCCTCCCCGCAGACACCCAGGGAGGCTCAGAACTGCGGCCTGCCGGGACCCCCGGAAACATATCCCAGGACACTGCGGTGTGTGACAGGGTCCCCCGGGGAGACGCAGGAAGTAATGGATAGGAACACGATTCCTGACCAAACACACCAGAAGTCCCGGCGTCACAGGCTAGTCTGACACGGGCGTGCACGCACCGCCACGGTTCCTCCAGACCTCCTCAGGACGGCACCAGACAAGCAGGGGATATGGTACAAAAATAGTTTATTACAAATGAAATCTAACCCACGTGCCTAATAATTTACATTGTTACCAGTGCCTGCCTAAGCCCCTCCGTCCTCATCCATCCGGATAGAGGGCTGGGGGGAGGCTGCTCCCTGCTTCCACCAGCTCAAGGAGGGGACAGGAAGTGAACATCTGGGTGGAGTTCCAGACCGGGGCCCAGGGCCGGAGGGTGCCAGAGTCCTTGGTTGGTGGGACAGGGCGGGGGAGAGCTATGCGCGGAAGAGGGGCTCGGGAGTAGGTGCGCGTGCTTTGGTGCAAATCCTGGTCCTGAAGATGGGGGGGGGCAGAGTGAGATCTTCACAGTTTCCGGAAGCGCAGACCCCCCAGCGCAGGGAGGGCCCTCTTCATGAGTCCGAGATCTGCCCCCCCATCCTTCTCAGCTGCCTCCTGGAGCCGGGGATGGGGGCACCGGCCGGCCAGGGCCTCGGAGAACCCCAGGAAAGGGCAGGAAGGCAGGTGGAGATGGGGGAGGAAGAAAGAAGCTGGGAGGAGCCAGGAGGAATCCGGGCGGGTCGCTGGGGGGAGACTGGGAGGGCGAGGAGGACGGCGAGGCGGAAATAAGACCTGCGGGAGGACGGGAGGCCGGTCGGTGAGCAG